TCCTATTTGTTTGCTTTTTGTGAACTTGTTGCATAGTATTACACCTCTATCCTGAATTCTTGTGCAAGTGTGGCTACAATGTGGCTAAGTGCAGCGGTGTACTGGTATGCTGAGTTATACGTAAGCATTAATGGCTTGTGTTTATGCCAGTAATGACCAATTAATGACTACTGAGATAGACTAATAAGTCAGGGCTTCTTGATGCTTTAACTAGTTATTCCTGATCAGCAAGGAACTACAGACAAAGAGTCTATTATTTCTATGTTTTTATTTAATGGGTATTTCAGATCAGTACTGAGCTGATTGCACAACCCAGTGAATTGCAGTCACACTTTGCATATAGTCTGTGTTATCTTTGTAACAGCACCTAACAGTAACTGTAAGAAAATACCGTACAGTGATAGGAGATGAAGAGAGATCATTAAGCAACCACTCAAGCCGGCATGCAGTCATTCTAAGGCTAGTTGATAAGATTTTCAAATGTGCTTAGCATTGTTCTAACTTTTGCTCTGTTTGAACTCACTGGTAGCTGCTGGGTATTATGGAAGGGATCTAGGAAATATAACTTTCTGCTCCTGTTTTGGAGAATCTTGGCATATACATATTTTGAAGTGTCCTGGCATGTACCTGCATTCAAGTTCTAATACATGCATCTATTGTATTTTGTACTTGGGTGAGTGCTGTATTCTTCTTTCTCATTATTGACAGTCTGTTGTAGCTACACTGATGTCAGTGGACCTGCAGTTTTGTAAGAAGAAATACAGGCATGTTGTCCTCCTTTTATTATTACAGTATAATCTATTTAAATACAGAACTTTGGGGCTTAACTGAAATACAGATAAAGCATGTTAGCTCTAATGTAAGCGATAGGCAAAAAATTGGTACTGGCATTATGGTATGCTGTTAAATGCTGTTAAATAATGTATATAGCTGATATGTATGTATGTATGTATGTGGAGTAAACCGTAGTATTATAGTTGTACATAATGACAATAGGACAATAATATTATATCATAAAATATTACTACTACTAAGTTGCATGTTACCCTTAGATCATACTAAGGGCATTTAAAACATGTGCATCTGCAGGTTAAAGCTCATTAACTCATGCTAAATGCCTTCTTAACATTTCAATTACAGCACTTGAGGCACAGGTTAACTCTGGGCTCTGATGCCTGCTCATGTTAGGGTAACTTTGTTGCCCTGTGGGATCAGGCCAACTCTCAGGATCTCAATATTGCGCTGTTAGACAGGAGGGCGTGGTGTACAATTGCACATGCACACACTCAAAAATGAATTAAGAACACACACACACACGGCGCACATACACACACTAGGTGCATGCACCCCCACCAGGCATGCACACACATACTACCAATCCAGGCACACAGACATCCAAAATTACCAGCCTAGGCAAATGCACGCCTATCACCAATTCAAGCACCTACACACACTATACAGACCAAAATAAATTAGACAAGAATCCATTATCAATACCTGCACACCCAATACACATACATGGATCACTAATTCGTATACGCAGGTGAGTTCCTAACTTGGGTGTTGTCATGTGTGTGTATGTATGTGCTTGGTGTATTTGGGACACCTGGGGAAAAGTTAAGGTAAGAAAGTGGAAGTGTAGAGAGTGTAAGTTACCGGGACTGGGATTAGAATCGGTAGACTAGAGAGAACTGGGCTGAAGAACTGAGGTTTGGGGATTACTTTAGGTTAATTGACCTTAATTGATTAAAGGGCAATGCCCAAACCCTGCAGAACAGGGGAGTGATGCCGGAGAGAAGCCGGCACAGAGGTTGGGACCATAGCCGGAGCTACAGGGGAGCCAAAAGGTAAGCGGGGAGAGGGAAACTGGGACAGAGGGTGCAGGGGAACTAGAAAGGGTGCGGAGGAAACTGGGGGCTGGCTCTGGGAACCAGGGGAGGAGCTGCCGGTGCCGGGAGCTGGAGAAGGGCTCCGGCTGCTGGGAAACCTGCGGGGAAGTTGGTGGCAGGCCAGAGGACTGTGGGGGAGAAGGGGTGGCTAGAGTGGGTGTGGGGGAAAGCTGGAGAACACAGATGAAAGGGGGAAAGAGGCAGGAAAGGTTGGGAACAGAAGGAGGAGAGAGAGAGAGATGGGGAGAGACAGCAGGAGGCAGAAATGAGCGGGGCTGAGAGGCTAAAAGTGGCAGGAAGAGCTGTCTAAAGACACAGGAAGGAGGCGGTGGACAGCAGAAACTGGGCCAGGAGGCTAGAAGCGGCAGAAATGGTGGGAAGAAGGTAGTGGATGGCAGAAATGTGACTGAGAGATGGCAGAAAGCAACAGGGCCAAGAGGCTGCAGCAGGGGAACAGAGAAGAGACAGAGGAGCTGAGAGGTGGCAGGAAAAGTGGCA